GGTTTTATAATCTCATAATCATTTGGTATATTTTCTGGGTAAAGGATGAGCGTATATTTATCTATCTTTATAAAAAATTTAAATTTAAATTCAAAGTAACATTGGTTACCCGCAATCACCGATAAATCAGTAGCAAGGCAATTAATTAAATGCACTTCAAAAAATTTTAGATTATTCGAAAAGTTTGTTGCAAGCATTTATTGCAAGCAGCTGGTTGTTTAACTGACTCTTTGTTTGGGAAAGTATACAACCATCTTGAAAGGCCAAGTGAAATTACGCTTAGTGTCTCATTTAATGACAGTATCTGTTGTCGCTGATGAATTTGCGAAGGCAAGAGCCTGTCTGGCTGTGTCGAAAACATTGGCTGTGGGATGCCCTTTGGGAATAATCCAAAGGGAAATTAATCTGCACTTTCTTGAGCTGGCTGGAAAGAGGTGGTAAGATAAGAAGAGTAGCAAGATATCAAGAAAAATCCACCCTGACTATAACAGGACGACGACTACGGATCAGATTAATATGCAGATAAAGGACAGTAGTAACAATCATGGGACGTTTCCGCATCTGTTAGGTGGAAAATAGCGACGAAAATACCCTGTGTGAATATTATATGTATATTAAATACCAGAAAGACACATATTAGTAAAACTAGCGAATCAATTAGAAACTACTACAAGCGTAGTTGGTAAATTCATCCGGGAATTCGGATGGTTGGTTTCACCAAGTAATTTGGAATTTACATAGATACGTAGCTATTACAAAGCAGTAAAATCAACTAAGAAACATAGCAAACAAAATTTATAATATCTACTTAATACATATATTGCCATTACTTCCAGAATAGGAAACCGACAAGACAGTCATTTCCTGTGATGGTTTAATATTGCTTATTCCCTTTCGCACTGCAACACTCAAATTTTATTCGCATCTAATTTGCATTAAAAGTTAAGAAAAAAATTTTAATAAAATGCTAATAGCTTAAGCAAGGACATTCAGTTTCAATACAACTATACCAAAGCAATGTAAGAACTGAACCAATCGCGCCTCTAAAGATAAACGTCGGTAAGTTGCGCCAATTTCCGGCTCTTTTTTAATTTATAAATGATTAGAAATTTTATATAAGTAGGCGCAATATTTTTGAACAGACAAGTTCATAAAAACTATGTTTTAAAACGGTATTATTATTACGTGAATAAATTTAACCAATTTTTGCCGTGATAAATATGTACATACATATGTACATACAATAATAAATCCTGATTTACATATACATACTCAAACATCTCCATGTCAGCTAAAATCTTTTTGTTGAGTGATTTTGACGTTCTGTTATCTGTTTAAGTAAATCCCTTGAGCCGTCTTCCAACGCCGCCGTTCGCTATTGAAATATTTTTGACAACAGAAATAGTCCCAAAGGTAAAATTTCCGCTGTCATTGTAGGCTTTACGCTTTGCTTATCGGCGGCTACTGTAGAAAGCATCTTTTCTGTTAATGAATACATAGGCTGTGACAGTTGTCGACTTGTTAGGAAAGTGAGAGTAATTAAGGGAGTAAAAAAGAACAAAAAAGAGTTCAATTCAATGTTCAATGCAAACTGAGTTGCTACAATAGATACTAAAAAAAAGGAGTAGGGTGATTTAGGTACGACTACAACTATTCAATTTGTATATACCTTAGCTTTAGAAAAGACTGTTGTAGATTAAAATTTCGTGATATTTTGTTGATTTTTGGTAAAATGCGTAATTGTCCAGCGTATAAAACCAAGTACTTTTTTTGGAAACAAAAGGCTTTAACCAGGATTAAAACAAAGTATATTTTTTTGGAAGAGAGTTGCCACCCTGTATTAAACCTAAAATCAGTTAATTTATAATTTAAATAAAATATTACAACAATGCGGATAATAAACATAAGTGGTTCAAAAATAATTTTGGGTTGAAATCCTTTTGGGCAAGGTTGCCACCTGTTCAAAAAAATTTTAAATTAGTTTTACTAACATTATCAAATATTATAATATGGTCACCAAATGATGGAATTTTAAGAAACTTTAATTCGAAAATGTGTTTGAAGAGAGTTGCAATTGTTTGGTAGTTTAAAATCGATTTAGTTGACAAGTTAAATTAATTGTTTAAATTGGATGCTAAGGAAGAGATGTTTAAATAAATGATTTACTATTTTTGAAGGGCTGCTACCAGTTTAAAGTTTCCGTTAAATTTTGTTAAAGATCAAATGCAACATAGCAATATGGGTGTTACATGCAAGATAGTTTTGAATGCAATTGCTACTTATTTTGAAAGTTAAATTTAACTTAGTTAATTAGGTAGCTAAAATATTACATCGAGGCATAAGTAAGAATATGAATATGAATATATGGTAACTAAAATATTACATCGAGGTATAAGTATGAATATGAATATGAATATGTATATGAATAATATAAATATGAATGTGAATATGAATATGAATAATAATATGAATACGAATATGAATATGAATATGAATATGAATATGAATATGAATATGAATATGAATATGAATATGAATATGAATATGAATATGAATATGAATATGAATATGAATATGAATATGAATATGAATATGAATATGAATATGAATATGAATATGAATATGAATATGAGTATGAATATGAATATGAATATGAATATGAATATGAATATGAATATGAATATGAATATGAATATGAATATGAATATGAATATGAATATGAATATGAATATGAATATGAATATGAATATGAATATGAATATGAATATGAATATGAATATGAATATGAATATGAATATGAATATGAATATGAATATGAATATGAATATGAATATGAAAATGAATATGAATGCGAATATGAATATTAATACGACAATAAATACGAATATTAGAATACAAATATGGACATTAAAATGAATATAAATATAATTATGAATTTAAATGTGAATATGAATATGAAGATGTATGTGAATATGAATATGAATACGACGAAAGTGAAGATGAATATGAATATGAATATGAATATGAATATGAATATGAATATGAATATGAATATTAATATTAATATGAATATGAATATGAATATTAATATATAGGTATATAAATATAAAAATCAATTTGAAAATGAATGCGAATATTAGTTTTAATATGAGTTTGAATATGAACACGAACGACTGTTAGTTCAATAATTACTGTTATTTTTTTCTGCCTTTTACTTTATACACATATGTACAATATGAATCAATTTGCTCTTAAATTGATTTCCGCAGCACTCTGCTCCTTATTGCATTTACCGCTTAAACAGTCACCTGGAATTTTAAATTACATCGACGCACACATGTATACCAAGACCAAAATTAATGACAAAAAAACAGAAATGCGGACAATATTTTCATTGGCATTTTCACGGTGTGACAAGTAACTTTCCGCTGCTGTTTTCATTATAAATAACAAGATCATACAAAAATATCGCAAACAAAAGAAAGAAAATTGGTAAGGGAAAAATGAGCTTGTAAAAATTTTCTCGTACAACGAATGCGGGTAGGCAGTAGGCAAATTGGCCACACAAACAGCCTAGCAAATTGACCAACAACTGGCGGCCACTCGATCGCGTCGCCGCTGACACACCATCGGCTCGTTGCTGAGTAAGTCAACAATCTGGGCAGCTATTGGTGAGAGCAGCAGCAAAAATGGCCAGTTAAGTTCGCATGAATTTAAGCGTTAACATAAAAACAAAAATTTTAACGGCAAAATACCAGAAAAAGAAAGTTGTGTGTTATAATGATAATTAAAAAAAAAAAAAAAATACCAAAAAAAGGAACACTCGAGAGCAGCCAGAATATAGCAACCATTTAAGCATTTATTAAAATTGCCACGGAAAGGTTGGCANCAAGAAATGGACCGGTAAGTTGGCCACCAAGATCATGCGATTTGACGCCTTTAGACTATTTTTTGTGGGGCTACGTCAAGTCTAAAGTCTACAGAAATAAGCCAGCAACTATTCCAGCTTTGGAAGACAACATTTCCGAAGAAATTCGGGCTATTCCGGCCGAAATGCTCGAAAAAGTTGCCCAAAATTGGACTTTCCGAATGGACCACCTAAGACGCAGCCGCGGTCAACATTTAAATGAAATTATCTTCAAAAAGTAAATGTCATGGACCAATCTAACGTTTCAAATAAAGAACCGATGAGATTTTGCAAATTTTATGCGTTTTTTTTAAAAAAAAAGTTATCAAGCTCTTAAAAAATCACCCGTTACATACAAAAATATGCACCAGGAACGAAAGATGGAGAGGGAGAATGGTAGGTACACTTTTGGCAGTAGTATGTGAACAACCACAGCAACAATAACAACAATGAAACAAGACTGACGACAATAATGTGAACGACAGCAACAACAGCGAAAGAAATTGCGGCTATGACAGGGAAAGGAGCAACAATAAGGCCAACTACAGCAAACATGGCAAGGACGACGGCCATGTTGCAAAGGACTACTACATGCAACGATGATGACGCACTTGGCATGTCCACATAATTAATACTGGGAATCGTTGACAACAATACAATTGAAGCCGACAGGCGTACACATATGTGTTAACGGACACACGCACACACACACGCATATAAAACAAATTTACGATCCATTGCAACAGCATGCTGCTTGCATGCAAGAAGCTATTCGCCGCCATCAAGTGGACCATGCTGCTCTTAACAACAGTCGTATGTATGTATGTGCATACGTGCCTAGACATATATGTATGTATGTAAGAGTATGCATGCAACGTAGCTCAGGTGTGTTACAATCGTTGTATGGCATGCCAAAAACACTTTTTCCACTTAATAAGTAGCTGCAGCGAACGAAAAGCAAACGAAGAACTATTCATCTCATTGGGCCTGTTCGACATTGTCGTTGTCCGCTTTCTCTGTTGTTGTTCTCATTATTGTTCAGCATTTTGCGCGTTGACTCACAAAATTATTGATTATAAGTACATACATACTTCACGCATATGATCTTAATTAATGGGATCGGTGGATGTACATATTTCCGTTGGAAAACATTTGCTAGATTTTCAAAAATAAAATAGTAATAAATATTAATAAAACTATACTTTATACGTTTATTTTTAATTTAAAGTTTTAACAAAATTACTATAAATGCTTTGTTAGAGGGGTGCCAAGACCGTTTTCAATGGTCATGGTTGAATACCGCCAAAACTTATATCGGCAAAATATTGTCATTAGCAACTTTGAGTAAAAGATAGAGAACCAGTGAACCCACATGGCGTTAAAACGCCCAAAATTTAATCTCAAAAACCTAAAAAATATTCCAAATTTTATCCAGAGTTATAAGAGACCCGTGTTCCACATTTCATCCAAACCATCCAGCCGTTTCTGAGTGAAGAGCGGTCTCCCATTATGCATATTTTTACTTTCATCGAATTTCAAATCAGCCTCTACCGATGGAAAAAGTTCTTAATTTAAAAAATTAAACTTTATCAGGCATCTACTAAGCTAAGGTTTCTAATTTGACCTTTCAGTTTTGAAATTTATTTTCAAAAGTATTCTCAAACTAAAATCTTCTTCCATCTTAAACTGATAAACTAATTCGAATTTGACTGTTCGAACAAATGGCAACACTTCTAAATAAAAGTCAGGAATAAATCGCTTTCAAACTCATTTCGATTTACACCAATCTTTTAATAACTCATCCAATTTACTAAATAATTTGAATGTAACTTTTAAACACGTGGCTACTCTCTTGAAACATTCGAAATGGTCAAACTAAAGATTTCTTTAACATTCTTTCTTTTGACAGTGGTATCCTTATGTTTCATATACATTTTCAATTAGTTAATTGACTTAGACCTTTCAAACAGGTGGCAGCTCTATTCAAAAGTACTTTGCAGCTTAATCATTGTTAACTCTCCTTCGCCAGACACTGCGATACTTATTTTAATTAACTGATGAATTAAATGGAATTTTAATTTTCAAGCATGTGGCAACCCCACTTAATATAGTTTAGAAATAAAAATTTTTCAAACCTCTTCGATTGATACCCATACTTTAATAAATCATTAGCTTTTAAAATATTTTGGATTTAACTTTTTAAACAGGTGGCTCCTCTTCCAACACCTCAAAAATATTCTTATAGTTCAAACTAAAGATTTCCTAACACTCCTTCGTTCCATATCCATATTTTGATATTTCGTATAACTTGTGTATAAGTAAACTAAATTAGACATTTCTAGCAGGTGGCAACCCTCTTAAACATATTTTCAAACTACTTTCTGAAAGCCCTTTCTCCATATAGTACCCATATGGTGATACATATTTCTTTTACCTAGTATGATTTTTTAAACAGGTGGCAACGCTCCTATAGTTCAGCTAAGAAACAAAGCTTTTCAAAACTATTACGATTGATACACAGTTTGTAAAATTGATTTAATTTTGTTAATAATCTGGATATAGTTTTTTTAAAAGTTGGCAACTATTTTCAAAAAAGTAAAACCTACTGTACATCTACAGTCCAAGGCTTTTAGTTTGACACCTCATTTTGGAAAATCGAACGAATGGTGCGGATTTTATTTTTATTTTTATTTAATTTTACAACAGGTGACAACTCTTTTCGAAAAACCAAAATCAGTTGGCACATCTACTTACAGATCAAGCGCTTTAATTTAACATCTATCTCATCGGGCGAACGGTACAGATCTTTTATCCTGAACAAAATATTATTTCGCGTATGATATATACAAATAGATGTTCATTGGAATTTTAGTTAATCCGCTACTACAAACATACTACATTTTTCATCAACTTGAAAAATCTCTTCACTAATATAATAAACAACAACTAAGGGCTGAGCCATTCTTCCATTTAACATATTGAAACTGTGGATTATTTTATCAGGTTTTTTTGTTTATATTATTTTTTATTTTTTTTTTTGTTATATACTCTTTATGTAAACTAGAGGCCAAATATAGTAATAATGCGTTTTTATTCCTGCTCTTTTGCATCAGGATTTTTTTAAAAGGACTTTGAAATTTAAAAAATCTTGATTTTTTGGGCAATAAGGACGAATAGGTTTTGAAAATGTCCTTCTAAAATTTTTTCCTTGAGTATCCCTACAATATCGCAGTATTTATTTTTGAAAAAGTTATGGGTTAAGCACATGACACATCCTTTAGCTACCATTTTTAACAACATTGAATTTTTTTAGCTCTTTCTAGCCCTTTTTTAAAAGGAATTTGGCTACCACTAAAAGTTATTCGCGGCAACACTGGTTGCGAGCAAATAAACAAAAATATAGCAAATCTTCATATAGTTGTCATTAACTTGTAATTTTGGTTAAATTTTTTAACTTGTTCTCTTTTTATGAAGATGCAAATACAATTTAAAAAATTATAGGTTTGCATAAAATTTAAACACATATTTACCTGTACATGCATACATATGTGTGTGTGTTTGAAATTACCTATATTCTTATGAAATAATTTTTGTGGCATTAGGGTGCCCATCGAAAATGTTTTTTTTTGGAAATTTCAAGACCCTACCCTTTAATTTTATTAGTTTTCATGATAAATATTATTGCCTATTTTTATAGATTTTTTAAAGGTCATTTAGAGGTCACGACCTGTCGATTTAGGTCAGAAAACAGGATTTTGTTGATTTGTGAGTTTTTGGATATATAGGCCCTTAAAATGGTATATGTATAATAATCTATTGTCGGACAAGGCTTGTTGGGATTTTTTATCGGGTAAATTAAAAAAATTCCCATATTCTCTAATTTTTTTAAATTTTGACGATTCTATCTAAAAATTAATCCATTTACAAATAAACTGATACGTCATTATTGCAATCGCATAAAAATTGTCGAATTTAGGCGAATTTTCTTAAATACGGCCTTGAAGTTATATTGTGTATGTACCGGACTTTCAGATTTTTTGAGCAGTGTGGCTAAGGAGTTCATCAATATTTATTCAAAATTGATACATATATTCATATATGTGCTAAGCGCAAAGAGCGATTGTATATATCAATTTTGAATAAATATTGATGAGCTCCTTTTCTGAAATTCCGGTACATACATACATATAAATTGAAGGCCGTATTTAAGAAAAGTCGCCTAAATTCTACAATTTTTATGCGATTGCAATAAATGAGGTATAAGTTTATTTGAAAATAGATTTAATAGAGATAGAACTCCATGTTTTAAAATCGTAGAAATTATCGATGGTCAAATTAAAAAAAAAAATTGAGAAATATGGGTATTTTTAAGTTACGCGATACAAATCCCAACAAGCCAAGTCCGGCAATAGATTATTGTACACCATTTAAAGGCCTATATATCCTATTCTCAGATAATATTCGCTCTTTGAAAGCTAAGCAAAAATAGTCATTTAAAAACTCATAAAACTGCAAAATCCTATTTTCTAACCTAAATCGACAGGTCGCGACCTTTAAATTACCCTTAAAAAATCTATAAAAATAGGCAATAATATATCTCATAAAAACGAATAAAATTAGGGGATATGGTCTTGAAATTTTCAGAAAAAAACATTCTCGATGGGCACCCTAATGTGCATACGCGTGTATAATTTCACATAATCGCTCAAATTTGCTAAAAGTTACTGAAAACATTATTGCAAATGTTTTAATAAAATGTTAGTTATTGGAATTAAAATTTTATGCGAATCCAATTTTTATTCCCATCTTCAGAGGGCGCAAATATGTATATGGGGCGTTCCATACCAAAACGGATGGGGTTCCCACTTCATGTGTTTGCTTTCTTTCAAATGTTTAGGTTTGATGCATAAACATAAACAATAAGTAGATATGAAACTTGAACTTGATTAATGCATTTTTAAAAATTTGACAGCACAAAAACAAAAACAAATCGATTTAATAGTTTTCCAAATATCTCGAGAACGGGGCGAGGAAAAAATTAAAAAAAATCACACATACACACATCAAAATTCTCTGTTAAAAGAAATATTTTAAAAAATTGTTTTCTTGAAAAATTTTTCAATCTGAAATAAATCGCAATGGTAGCTCTGAGTATTGCGCAATATTTAAGTAAAGTACAAATTATGGGGTGCACTCTACAATAATTTAAGTTATGATTTTTTTTACGCCGAAGTTGAGTAAAATGAGTACATTAAAATTCTAGTATAGAAAAGTGCAAGTTTGAAGCGATTGCAAAGCTGGCCTTAATTTTTTGTAAATTTTCTTTGAAAACGGTTTTGCGCATTTTCTTCCATAGGAAAAAAGTGCAAAAGCCGTCAGCATAAAAAATATTTAAAATCAATGCGATTTTGCAGTAGCTTAAAACTTGCACTTTATTATACTAAAAATAAAAGAGCTACAAAACTGCGTACCTACAAAAAAATCTAAAAAAAGTTAAAAAATTTTAAATTTTTAATGTTCTCATTTTACCCAACTTCGGTTTATAAAAAGTCTCATAACTCAAATTATCGTAGAGTGCACCCCGAAATGCTATACTTAAATGATTTTTTTTAATTTTTATTTGAGATGGATTATTTATTATTACTTTTAATTTTTATTTGAGATGGATTATTATTTATTATTTTCAAAAACTTTTTTGATCAAAAAATTTTTATGTAAAAAATTTTCCAAGAAAAAAAATATAAAAAATATTTCTTCTCATTGATAATTCTGATGTGTGTACGTATGATTTTTTCAAATTTTTTTCTCGCCCCGTTCTCGAGATATTTGGAAAACTAATCAATCGATTTGTTTTTGTTTTTATAATGTAAAGTTATTAAAAATGTATTAATCAAGCTTAAATTTCATATTTATTTATTATTTATTTTTATGCATCAACCCTAAAAATTTTAAACAAATCAAATTCATGAAGTGTGAACCCCGTCCATTTTGGTATGGAACGCCCCATATATATGTGTAAACTTTACGCAAAATTATCATTTTTTTATTGTATTTGCAGCTTCATAAAAAGACAAGTTAAAACATTTTACAAAAATTTCAAATTAA